TATGAAGGATAACTTTGTTGAAACTGAGTTCTCTTAAACGTCAAGATTAATTTATCTTTCAAAATAATTATCACGAAAAATTTCACATAGAAGTGAACTATAAAAATTTCTCCACATATGACTAAAACCTGCTTTCAACAGTTGAGATCATGTGTCAATTGAAGCTAGACCACCACGGAAAACCTGGAAGCACTGAACGGCCGTTTCGTTCTATTGTGGGACTCCTCAGCAGTGCACATCCACGACGTAATTTTATTACAATTAAATTGGATTAGTTGTCGTCATTTGTATGAAAATGTAGTGTTTCCCGTGAGAATCTGGAAGTTGTATATTATATTACAAGTAAAGTTGTTTCATAAAAAGAACTGACAAGTCTAAAATGCAAAAGAAACAATTGTCAAAGAATTTTTAGTTTTCAATGGTCACCATATTCATTTTCATTATCTGAAAAACAATTTTTTCTAATGAGATGAGAGGCAAATTTTCAAACAACATAGATATAAGCTAAGAATATTGTTTTCGATTAGATCCTCATCTGGTTTACTCTAACACATAGTACTGCATTTATATACATATACGAAATTATTAAACCAATCAAGGCAGTTTATGAGTTAATGATGATAACAATGGAATAAATTACATAAATAAACATAACAAGTGAAAAGTACAAATTGATAGTGTGATGACAGGTGTACAAGTTGTGATAAGAATAATAAAAGCTTGAATCAATGTTTACTTTTTACTTACGCCTGTTACTCCTCGTGAAGGAACATAGGCCGCTCACCAGCATTCTCCATCCAACCCTGTGCTGAGAAATCCTTTCTAGTTCCTATTCATCCTTCCCGTATCTGATTCTATTTCCCGACTAATGTGTTCTTTGGCCTTCCTCTTTTCCGCTTCCCTTCAGGATTCCAAGTCAGGGCTTGCCTCGTGATGCAGTTTCATGATTTGCGCAATGTATGTCCTATCCAGTTCCATCGTCTTTTCTTAATTTCTTCTTCAGATGGATGCTGGTTTGTTGCTGATGGTATCCGGCCAATGGATGTTGAGTATGTTGCGTAGACATATTTATAAGAACTTGTACGTTCTTGATGATGGTTGTAGTAGTTTCCCATGTCTCAGCTCCGTATAGTAGAACTGTCTTGACGTTTGTATTGAAGATTCTGATTCGTTATTGGTTGACAGATAGTTGTTTTGAGTTCCATATGTTCTTCAATTGAAGGAATGCGGCCCTTGTTTTGCTAGTCCTTGCCTTTACATCTGCATCTGAACCTTCTTGCTCATCAGTGATGCTTTCCAAATATGTGAAGGATTCTACATCTTCCAGAGTTTCGCCATCAGGAGTGATTGGAACGCTGTTCTCCGTTTTGAATCAGTGTTACATAATCGGAAATAGGTCAATGATTATAAAAAATAAAAACACTGAAATAACATTCATAGAAAGATTATTAGATTACGTAGTAAGAGGTGTTCAGATAATTGGAACGTGAAGCGTATATTTGAGAAAAGAAAAAGATGCCAGGGAATGAAGAAGTATAGAATTCTCAAACTGACATTAATAATTATTATCAGTCAATGTTGTCTTGTACTCTTTAGTTCTAAACAGTTCTTCAATTAAATGTTTTACTTCATTTCAACTAATACACATTTCATCACACTATCGATTTGTAATCTAGTTCCACTGTTATCAATGACTCAAAAGTTGCCTTGATTTGGTTTACTAAGATCGTTACATGCATGTAAATATTACTGTATATTAGAGTAAAACCTGATGAGGATCTAATCGAAAACAATATTGTTCACTTCTTTCTATGTTACCGACCAAATCGCAACTCTACGGATCATTGTGGAACAATCAATTGAGTGGAAATTCATCACTCTACATCAACTTCATTGACTACGAAAAAGCAGTTGATAGCGTGGACAGAACAACACTATGGAAACTTCTTCGACACTACGGCGTGCCTCAGAAGATAGTCAATATCACACAGAACTCATATGATGGATTAAACTGCAAAATCGTGCATGGAGGAGAGTTGACAAAGTCGTTCGAAGTGAAGACCGATGTCAGGCAAGGTTGCTTACTCTCACCCTTTCTCTTTCTCCTGGTGATCGATTGGATCATGAAGACGTCAACAGCTGAAGGAAGCACGGGATACAATGAACATCTAGGATGCAGCTGGACGATCTAGACTTCGTAGATGATCTGGCCCTTCTATCCCAAACGCAACAACAAATGCAGGAGAAGACGAACAGTTTGGCAGCAGCAGTAGGTCTCAATATACACAAAGGGAAAAGCAGGATTCTCCGATACAACATAGAATGCACCAATCTAATCACGATTGACGGAGAAGATTTGGAAGATGTAAAAACCTTTACATATTTAGGCAGCATCATTGATGAACACGGTGGATCTGATGCAGATGTGAAGGCGCGAATCGGCAAAGCAAGAGCAGCATATTTACAACAGAGAACATCTGGAACTCAAAGCACCTGTCAATCAACACCAAAGTCAGGATTTTCAATACAAATGTCAAGACAGTTCTACTGTATGAGGTGGAAACCTGGAGAACTACGAAAGCCATCATCCAGAAGATACAGGTGTTTATTAACAGTTGTCTACGCAAAATACTTCGGATCCGTTGGCCGGACACTATTCGTAACAACGTACTGTGGGAGAGAACAAACCAGATCCCAGAAGAGGAAGAAATCAGGAAGAAGCGCTGTAAGTGGATAGGACACACATTGAGGAAAGCACCAAACTGCGTCACAAGACAAGCCCTCACATGGAATCCTGAAGGGCAAAGGAGAAGAGGAAGACCAAAGAACACATTACGCCGAGAAATGGAGATAGACATGAGAAAAATGGACAAGAATTGGATGGAACTAGAAAAGAAGGCGGAGGACAGAGTGGGTTGGAGAATGCTAGTCGGTGGCCTATGCTCCTTTGGGAGTAACAGGCGTAAGTAAGTAAGTAAGTAAAAGTCTTTCTATGTTGTTGGAAATTTTGGAGAGGCAAGTTATTGTTTCCATTGTTAAAAGATTTCAATTATCAGTATTGTGAGAACTCGATGACTTGAATCGATGTCTAATGAGAACAATATCGTTAACGATATTAAAAATTCACCATTTTTTCCCTCTTATTATCATTATTACTTGACATACCACTTGAGTATTCTTTCCATCAGTATGTTCTTATGATCATTCCTATCAATATAGTACTCATTTTTACATCTTATTACTTCATAACTTATCTATCACCCTCATATCAGGTACGATATTTTATCTAACCAATTCGTTCTTCATTTTCATGACCTAATTGTATACTATTAATGATTAAAGTTTATTATTCTTGTCAGTTTATTTCACATAGAATAGCTTAATAAAAGCATTTACTCTGTCCATTTGTTAATATATATGTATATTATATAAATATACTTTTAACCTCCAAGTTGACTTTACTCTTCATCAACTGTAAACAAAGAGTACTAAAAACCTGATCTCATGAAAAGAAGAAAAAAAATAGCCATATTCCAACAACCATTTTATCTCTCTGAAAATATTGCTCCCTTTTCTTTTTTACTAAGGACTATTATTTTGACAAATTTATTTATTGATTGAAATCATGAGTCTATTTAAGCTAGACCACCATTGAAAATCTGGAAGCACTGGACGGCCGTTTCGTCTTATTGTCGGACTTTTAATCCGTGTCAAATAAAGACAATTATCTACTTCAGTACAATGGAAGATGGTCGCGCAATCTCGTGGATTGGTTAAGGTTAAACATTAACACCATCGGATGCCGGCTCACTGGTCCAGTAAGTTAAGCGAGAATGATAGGTCCTGAATTCGAGTCTCACAAGGCAGGATCGTGGATGCGTACTGCTGCGGAGTCCCACAACTGGACGAAACGGCCGTCTGTTGCTTCCAGGTTTTCAATGGTGATCTAACATTAATCGATTCATGATCTGAATAAAAAATTTACTGATCTCCACAACCCCTATACTGATAATCAAATAATTAAAAACAAATGAATATTTTGAATTAACATAATTTTCTTCAAAAGAAAATTATTATTAGAATGTAATGATAAGTTCATACATTGAAAATGATGAGTAAAACTAATTCATTAAAAAAATCAGAACCAAAATTCTTATCAATTAAATGAGGAAATAAAATAAACAAATACCTTGATTATAACAAATAACAGTTATATAATATACCCTTGTGGGCCAAGGTAATTTTACATTGGTTTTCAGGAGAACCAAACACCATCCGGACTTTCACATGAAAACCCAAACAGTACAGCTCAACCTAGTTTAGCAAGGGAACCAGACACCGTATAGGCTTTAACGCTACAATCTGAATAGTACAGCTCAATCCTGTGGCGCAACCATACAGGTACAAAGTACCCTAGTGACCATATAAAAATAAACCATCATAAAAACAACAACAACAACAACAAGAATAATAATAAATTATCTCAATTTCAAAAAGAAAAAATCAATATTTTTTTCTCGAAAATGCTTTTTTTCTTTTTTACTTCTCCTTTTTCTTTTTTTTACTTTTTCCTTTAATGATAAAGTTATATAATTAAAAGAAAATTAATTTGATCGGAATGACGTAATCATAATAATAATAATCGAATGGTAAATGATATTCATTTAAACATATTTTAAAATACCGCTTTATTTTGTTTAAAATTTAATTATTCCATTATTATGAACGTTTTAATTTGTTTTAATAATTATAATCATATATCCTTATTAATATAATCAATTTATTGATTTTTTTTATTAAGATCATAAATCAATCAATGTTAGATCAACATTTTAAACAGAAAAAAAAAACAACAACCTGGAAATATTGATTAGTCATTTCATTTCAATATAGAACTCTTTAATCCCATATTTTCAATAATGATCTAACATTGATTGATCAATTCATGATCACAATCTGATATTACTTAAGATCAATTGAATGAATAAATTTTGGGTATTGATTTATGAATGATGAATGGAAATAGAAATTTTCAAATTATGAAAAATATTTCATTTATAGATTGTTTACATTCAATTACTTGTCATTTCATTGAATTATTCATTCATTAAATGATTATGCTATTCATTTGAATAATTATTTCATTCATTTATAAAAATTTAATTGAATCATTTTCAATCTGTTTTAATTTATACGTATCATTACTATCATTTGAACTGATAATTTCGAATAAATTAGGCATTAAATTCATTAATTTATAGATATTCCAACAAGTAGAGAAATGAGATTTTCTAACGTTTCGTAACTCAGTGTTAGTGACTTCTTCAAAGTGAATAAACAATCAAATCATAATTCATACAAGTTTAAAGAGTAAACATTGAACAATACAAGAATATATTATCTTTATGTTTTTTTTCAACTTCTTCTCTGAAGAAATGGCTTACTTTGAGTGACGAAACATCAGATCATTTATCATTTTTTCCTACTCAATGAAATATTTACAATTATATTTATATTCATTTATTTTAATTTTAATTTATATATTTTCTTGTTTTATTAATTGTTCATTTAATTTGATTTGATCAATATCATATTGATCAGGATCATGATTACGATGAATGATTTGATCATTATATTTTAAATCATTATTTATTGATTGGATATAATTTATATATTTTTTATGATGATGATGATGATTAAATTTTTTATTCATATTCATTTTTAAATTAAAATTTATTGATTTCCAATTATTTGATTGAATGATTTTTTTAATATTTTTATCATTGATCAATAATGAATTATTATTATTATGATTCATATTATTGAATATTGAATCAATAAAATTTGAATTCGAATTTAATTGATTTTTATATTGATTTTTAATTTGATTATTTAATTTTATATTTTTCCATTTATTCCAATAATTATAATAATAATAATAATGATAATAATAATAAGAGGATGAAGATGGAGATGATGATGAAGATGATGATGATGATGATTTGAATGTATTAAATTTTGGTAAATCTTTTTTTAATATTCTTGTCCATAATTTTGTTAAATTATTTTTACCTGGTTTACGTATTAATGAAAAATATTTAATATTATCATTATGACGTGATCGTATATGTAATTTTAATGATGATCCTTGAGTGAATGTTACACCACAAGCAGAACATGAATAAGGTTTATCACCTATTTTAAAAAAAACGAAGAGAAACAAAACAAAAGAATGAAAATGAGAAATGTTATTTTTTTTAATGTAAAAGAGTGATAATACTATCAGAAGGGGTAGCGGTTGTGGATATTATAGTAATTTTAATAGTTGAGATCACGAATCATTTGAAGCTAGATCACCATGGAAAATCTGGAAGCATTGGACGACCCGGTTGAACTCCACTGAGAGATAATAACTCACTGAAGACATCAGTGGATGGTGGAATAATTTCGTGGATTGGTTGAAGTTAGATGGTAGTTGGAGGTAGTTGACAGGAAACTCCACATCGTAACATGGTCAATAGCATTCGATCTGCATTAATAACGACTAGACACGCAATCTAGTATGATTACATCTCAGTCCTACACGAGGTCGGTCGCGGCTCGGATAGCTCAGTAGTAACGTTTCTGACTGTGAAGCTGGGTGACATGGGATAGAATCCGCCAGGGAGCACCAGTTCCCTCAAGATTACAGGTACACCCTGCTGACGAGTGCCAAGTAGCACGAAACCCGGGTCCAGGGTTTCTTGTTGACTACCTCCAACCACCATCAAATCTTACTATAGTGCACGCCGTGTCGAGTCACCTTGACTGGTGGCCATATTGCAACATGGTCGGTAGCATTCGATCTGCACTACTAAGGACTAGACACGAAATTAATTGTGGTTGAAGTTAGACATTAACACCATTGGATATCGACTCAATGGTCTAGAGATTGAGCGCTCACGCGAGAGACTAATAGGTCCCGTGTTCGAATCTCATGAGGTAAGGTCGTGGATGCGCACTTCTGAGGAGTCCCAACATAGGACGAAGCGGCCATTCAGTGCTTCCAGGTTTTCCATAGTGGTCTAGCTTCAATCGACTCATGATCTCAGCTATTAAAATGGTAATACTGTTTGTTGACCTTAATAATTAAATACGTTTAACTATCAATCTTATATGAAATTAAACTTAATTAGATGAATAGTTTTGATGGAGATTACTTTAAAGCTAATAAGACATGAGTATTTGTTTTGTCTAATTTTAAGGTTCTTCAACAGTGAGCAATCACCGACTGATGAAAAACATTTAAGTCTAATGGTGAATAAGACAAGTCTATATGATCAGTTACAATCAATGGATAATATAGTATAACATTCATCTTATACCACCAATGATCTTTGTCTTACTTTCAACACAGTTAGACTCACAATTAATTGATCATTGTGTAGTGACCATTGACATGTTTGACTAGTCCTTTAATGCTAATCACATTTAATTGATCAAACTGCAATATGGCATTGTAACTTGAAATCACATGAAGTATGCTGAGATATTAAGTGGTTTGAAATTGTGGGCATGATACCCAACAAGGTGCATCATTTCCTTTGAAACTCCAAGTAAACTTTTACAAAAATATGTAAACTAATACTAAACTTACCACTGAAGTTACTTATCAACTATCTTCGAGTGTTTAGTAAGATCGAATTCAATCAGTCACAATATTTCACATATGATAAAAATTAACATTAAAATAGAATTTAATCAAAAAGGAATCTCAAAACTACCAAAAAGAAACAGTTACACATTATAACTGATTTATTTTTAGATTGTCGATAAACATTTATTTATTCTCAACGTTTGAGATCATGAGTCAATTGAAGCTAGATCATCATGAAAAAACATAGAAACAATGGACGGCCGTTTCTTCCTATTGTGGGACTGAACAATGCGCATCCACGATTCCACCTGGCAAGATTCTAAGACAAGACCTATCAATCTCTTTCACGCGAACGCTTAACCTCTAGACCACTGATCCGGTAGCCAATGGTGTTAATGTCTAACTTCAACCAATCCACAAAATTAAGCGACACATTCACCATTGTCTTCATTGAGTTACTATAATATCCACAAAAACCTTTCTAATATTTAATTCACTTGATATTGTTTTACTTGAATCTTCCCATTGATGTTTTTGGACTGAAATTGATCAGTCTCTTATTGGCATATGTGGATACTGTGCGTATGCCTCGATATTGCCTTAATTTACAAGCATTATAAGCAAAGATAGATAGTGGCTAGCAGTGGAATCCAGGACGCGCGTTTCGTCCTGTTTGGGACTCGTCATCTGGATGTACCTGCATCTCAGAGTTGATGTTCACTCTGGGACTCGAACCGATGCCAATAAGAGACTGATCAATTTCAGTCCAAAAACATCAATGGGAAGATTCAAGTAAAACAATATCAAGTGAATTAAACTTCACCCGATTGCACAAGCAAGTGGCTATCAGGACTCAGTAGCTAAGTGGATAACGCGATGACGTTTGAAGCGAACGGTACTGGGTTCGAGTCCTAGGGTGAACATCAACTCTGAGATGCAGGTACGTCTAGCTGACAAGTCTCAAACAGGACGAAACGCGTGCCCTGGATTCCACTGCTAGCCACTATCCATCTTTGCTTCCTGATATTTATTTATTATTCACTGATTCTAGAAAAACTAATAAATTCCTTAATATTATCATTTAACTATCACGAATAATGAAAAGAAATTTAAAACAAAACAAAATGATAAAAGGACAGAGAGATAAATGAACTACACAAACAAGAGAGTGAGAGGTCAGATATTACTAAGAGAGAAAAGAACAACTTCAAAGATATTTTATACGGAAATCCGTATACATATATATGTCAGTTTTCACTTCGAATATATATATACATATCACTTTAATTGTTTTCTATTCGTTTCCTTTAAAGGTACAAATAAAACAAACAATAATAGGTCATATTATTAGAAGAGAGTATAGATTAATGTTTTATTAGTAAGCAAAGAAAGTAAATCTTTATTTATTTGTGATACCCTTTTATTGAAAATTATTATTATCGTTATTTACTTATATCCATGATAGCGATAATGAAAATATGATTAAGAGAAGAATAAAGAATACTTGAATAAATCACTCATTTTTATCAATAAATAACTTTGATAATCAATGAGTTGTTATCAGAATGAGGGTTTTGTGGAAACCATAGTAATTGTAATAGCTGAATTCATGAGTCGATTTAATCGAGATCACCATGAAAAACCTAGAACCACTAGACAGACGTTTCATTCTGGTATAAGACTCTTCATCTATACGCATCCACGATGCTACACGTGGGACTCGAACTCAGGACCTTCAGTCTCGCACGCGAACGTTTGAGCTCTAGACCACTGAGCCGGCCGGTATCCAACGGTGTTAATGTCTAACTACAACCGATCTACGATGTTGAGTGAACCGTCCACAATTGTCTTCAGTGAATAACTGCCTTACAACAGACAGTTAATCTCCGCTGGTCACGACTTCTCACCAGAACTTCAGGGAATACATCTTGAAGCCGTGACTAGTGGAGTTAAACCGTATCTGTTGTGACGCAATTACTGAAGACAATGATGGATGGTCGCGCACTACCATGCATTAGTTAAAGTTAGAAACTAACGCAATTGGATGCCGGTTCAGTAGTCTACAGGTTAAGCGTTCACGTGAGAAACCAAAGGTCTTTGGTTGGATTCTCTCTGGTGTGGGATCGTGGATAAGCACTGATGAGGAGTTTCATACTAGAACGAAACGGTCGTCCAGTAATTCCAGGTTTTTAATGATGTTCTAGCTATAATTGACTCATGAATTCAACCATTAAATCAATGAATTGCTTATAGAATTTCATTCTACTCGTAGTTATTCTTTTTGAATTATGATGACGCTGAAGAAATTAACTACACAGAAGAGGGATCCAGTAAAAATATATTAAAAGTAAGTAATAATATATATTAATGTGTCTTTCTTAATGATTTATTCTTTACATAGACCATAATACAATGGATTACAATGTGAATAGATTATTTTTGACGAATTTGTTTCCTAAATATATAACAACCATCCAATACTTCCAAGTTTTCCATGGTGGTCTCATTTCAATTGACTTATGAAGTTAGCCATTAAAAATTACTTTAATCTCCACAAACCCACCACCACTCTCTAAATATATAACTGTTTTCAATGTAATAAAATTTATTACTTTGAAACATACACCTAAAAAAAGAAAATGAATTATGGTTATCGAATAGAGACTACGAATGTATGAGCAATAATAAGGATAATGATAATCATATTGGCTTACTGGTAGACTTTCCAACATAATACTAATATGTTATTTATCAGTTACTTGACTAGTGAGTAAGATTCACAATTGAATGTATTGCCCTTTTTTACCATTGCTGTTACGAGTATACACATATATGCATTGTCTTAACATATATCTAGACACATACAGATAGAAGTCAACTTGACTTGACATCAGTGAACAAAATGGTGTTTTTCAAAGCTCAGCCAACAACAAAAGAAAATAGATTAATATGCTTCAAGAAATATTTTAAAATTAAGTCATTATATTGGATGAGATGGTAAACTTGAAAAAAAAGGATAGAAGGAATTAAATAATCGTTTATTCATGATCATAAAAGTCAATACTACTACTACTACTACTACTACTACTACTAATAATAATAATAATAATAATAATAATAATAATAATAATAATAATAATAAGAAGAAGAAGAAGAAGAAGAAGAAGAAGAAGAGGGAGTAAACAATTATTGTGTAAATAAAGAAATAAATAAACAAAACGTTAAAGTAATTTGTGTGTGTATGTGTTGTTCATATATATTCAATCCCTTTCTTTCAACCATATAGATAATATTACATAGATCTTTATGAGTCATGAAGTATTCCACGAATATAGAAAGTTATCAAAAGTTATTTACAGATAAACTTCATATTAAAACTTTCTACATTATTTCACATCGATTCAAGTTGAAAAACATTCTATAGTATAGTGCTGAACAAGTACTACATACCTGTTAGGTTTGGTTATGGTGTTTCTAAAAGTATTCCAAGGTAGTTCATCTACTTAATGTTTACATTTAAATCATTCTAAGCATTAAACACGAATGAATCCGAAGTTGT